GAGGAACCCTAAACCCATTCTGGGTAGGTTTTGAACCCTAGGGCATTTTTAAATTGAACAGCGTGATTTGGGTCCCATGGCGTTCATCTGCTCGACTGGTTTGGGGGTTAACTGTTTCCGTTTATTCTGAGCCATGATCCCTTCAGAACTGTTGCCACCAATCACCTACCTTTCTACTTACATCTATGAAGGCACCTATAACAGTTAGGGTTGTTTACGATGTTCTCTCTTCAAGTTTAGCATACGAGGTTTTTGTGGGCTCGTATCCCTCTTGTAGGCTTTCATGGTTTCCCTTCGACTGGTTGGATGGAGGACTCTGGAACTTTGTAGAACTGGTGTCTCGTCTGGGGCTGAACACTTATGTCAGGAGTCGGGGATTGGGTTGACGAGGTAGAACCCAAGCCGAACATCCCAATGACCCCCGCGCCGTCGGCCGGGCATGTACCAAAAGCAATAGGGAGAGCACACATATCTTGAACCACGGTTTAGGGTTCAGGGTTTAGGGTTTAACTTTAGACAAGGAGCGAGTTTTGTCTATCGGCTTAGGATTGAGAGCCGAGGCGCTGATCTAAGCTGCCGGGCGGCCAACAAGTTTCAAACATACAGTTTTAGCTGTAATTAATGCCCAAGCTGCGGGGCATTGAAGGGGCGAGAATCGATATTCAGACTTAGACTTCAACTGTCTAGAACGTCCTGGTGGCCCTGCTTCGCGTGCCTCTCTTCCACGGAAGGAAGGCTGAGTTTGAAGCCTTCCAACCAGTTCTCCACAAGCCCCACAACTCTCCCTGGGGTTCACCTATAGTCTCCATTCTAGTTTCTTTTATTGGTTTAACCAATTATATATTAAGGATTTTATAAGGTATCCCCCAAAAGGAACTACAAGGAGACTATAGGCACAGTTCGAACCAGTAGACCCAGAATTGGGGCAACCCGGGCCCCCAGAACTCCAGAATGGTAGCATAACGGAAAGCTGGGCACGAGAAGATTGGCGGAACCCTGAGCCCTAAACTACGCTGAATATCCAACAGCCTCCAGTTTGCAATCACGCACTTTTTGTCCGCTCAGCTTGCGATCCCGGCTGTCTCGGAGACTGTGGTTCAGTGAACGAAAACTTTTCTGAAGCTCA